AAGGTTGAGAACCACTGCTCTAGTATATTGTGTTTTGTGTGGACATGCATGATTTTCATGGAGATGGTTGACAGCTTTTATTAGATTTTCAAAGGGGTCCTGACCCCAAAGACATGGTGGGGTCTTGAAATCAGGGCTTGGTTGTGCAGGAAGGGAAACAAGCTTAAAAATCCAGTCCCCAAGGCCCACTGGGGGTCTGGGGCATATGTAGCCAGCATGGAGGAAGGAACCTACGGAAGCCAGGGCTACTATTTGTAAATCTCACGGGCACTGGAGGAACCAGGGGAAATGAAAAGGCTTTCACTTCAGCAAGGGAAGGACCTCCACGCTGACCGAGACCGTAGCGATGACTGGGGAGGGGGGGAGGTCCTTGTCACTGGAGGTATGCAAGCACATGTGCATGCCTCTCTGTCAGAAATGGTTCTGGGATGATCAGGCCAGGGAAACACACTGTCTTGGGATGTAGGAGTGTTACATGGTCTGGGTCAGAGGGGACAGTCTCTAAGTTAACGTAGCTGAGGGTCCTTCCAGCCTTCCACAGGCTAGAGTACACCTGACATGCCTCTATCCCCAGAGTGAGTTCATTTGAGTGCCATTACCATATTTCACATACAAGGAGCAAGTCTGGACTAGGTTGGTTTCTACTTTGCCTGATCCCATGACCCTGAGAGGGGCGGTCTGGATGAAAAATGCAAGGACAGGCCTGGATCCCCTTTTTTGGCCACTATCCTTTTGTAGCAATGACCTTGGCTTACACGGGCTGCCAGCCGGCCAGACTGTCCTCCTCTGGCCTCCCTTGGCTTCCTCACGGTCAGCAGCTTTCTTTTAGGACCAGAGCATCTCATTTCACATCCTTTATCTGGATCATCAGACCACATCCTACAGCAGTTTCAGGGTGCCCTTCCTGCTGTCTGCTTCTGAGAGAGTCAGCTCTCAGGGAGCTCAGAAGCCTTCTCCTTGAAGCAGGAAAAAATCTCTACTGAGTCAGGGGTGCCAGTTTCCGTGGGGCACACCAGGAGGCAGGAGATGGCCCCTCCAGAGAGGCTGTTGGCTCCGCGGCTCGGATTGGACAATGCTGTCTTCAGGCTTATATGGGAGATGGCTGGCATGGGGCTGGGGCTGGTGCTTGCTTCCTAATGCAGCTGCTTAGCACTTACGGGACCCCAGACACATGTATCATGCTCTAAACTGCTCTCCATCTGCACCAGGACAACAAGTCTCACAAATCTCTGACTCTCACAAACCAGATTCAAAGTGTCAGGCACAGAGTAAGAGCTCAGTAAACAACAGGTGTATTATTACTACTATTATTGTTTTAATAGGTATTGCTTGACCTCTCTGGGCCTTGGCAAAAGTATGATGACGATATGCATCTCAGAGCAAGGATTAAGTGAGGTCGTGGGATGAAAAGTGCATTTTGAGATGTACAATCCTGACCAGGAACGACCGGTCGCTATGATAGACACTGACCACCAGGGGGCAGACACTCAACGCAGGAGCTGCCCCCCCTGGTGGTTAGTGTGCTCCCACAGGGGTAGCTCTGCTCAGCTACAAGCCAGGCTGACAGTTGCAAGCGCAGTAGTGGTGGGGGGGGGTGGGGGGGGAGCCTCTCCCGCCTCTGCAGCAGCACTAAAGATGTCTGACTGCAGCTTAGGCCCGATCCCCCAGAGAGCAGGCCTAAGCTGGCAGGTGGACATCCCCCAAGGGCTCCTGGACTGTGAGAGGGCACAGGCTAGAGTCTGAGAGACCCCCCCTGAGTGCACGAATTTTTGTTCACCGGGCCTCTAGTTAATAATAATAACACAAAGTCCTTCTAAGCAAGGAAGCCTGTTTTTCCAGGATTGGTCACAAGAGGGCACCATCTCCCTTGCCCAAGTCTTGTCCTGGTGGCCACTCTCCCAGGAGGGATCTGGTGCTGGCCTCCCTCACTGCTGCAGAACCTGGGCCTAGTCCTGGGGATCTGTCACTGGACCTGTTCTTGGGGTGCCAGTTCCTTCTCCCCATGGGACGGAGGCCCATGGCACAGCATTTAGGAATGTGTTACTCCTTTAGGGCTGTGCTGAGAAATGGTCTCAGCGCTGACATTCTTCAAGGGCAGTGACGAAGCTCAGACTGGTGCGTGCCGAGGAGTCTGTCCTCACAACCACACCCTCATGGACCTCGGGGTCCTCAGCAGTGAAGTGCAGGCACAGGTGTCCTCTCAGCTTGTTCTGGGGCACGAAGGAGGATGTGGGGAGCCGGGGAATCTGGGTACCGTCCTGTAAGAGGTTGTCAGGCTGTTGGGTTTTTCCTGGAAATGTAGCAGAACTTGGAGGATCCTGCCAGAGGAGGGGGACCTGTGTTTAAAATGTCCCCACGTGTTGGCCATGATGCCTATGGGACAGCTGAAGTCCAGAGTTCACTCTGAACCCTGATAGCCATGTGGGGTGTGATTTCAGACTCTCTTATGTAACCTGGTCAGTCACACCTTTGGGACTGAAGGTGAGCGGCTGCTGTGTGGCTGGGCCCTGTGTGCTCCTGGCTCTTACCTGGGTCCCACCCTAAGGGACCGTACCTCCCTCCTCTAACGCTCCACAGCAGGTATTCCCAGACTTGTCATGGCAGCTCCCTGGGGCTTCCGACTCCCCCGTGTGGGTCCTGATTGCTGTCCGTGCTGGTCTCTGGAAAGTCTGGCAACGTGAAGGCACCCGGGGCTCCCTGGGGGGCGGGGGGCTGTTATGCGCTAAGTTGGGACCCCCCCTCAACCAAATTCATGTTGAAGTCCTAACCCCCAGCACCTCAGCATGTGACTGTATTTGGAGTCAGGGTCTTTGAAGAGATAATGAAGGTTGAATGAGGTCACTAGCGTGGGGCCTAGTCCAATGTGACTCGTGTACTTATGGGAAGAGATTAGGACACAGACAGGCAGAGTGAAGACACAGGGAGAAGACAGCCATCTACAAGCCAAAGAGAGTGGCCTCGGGAGAAACCAACCCTGAGACCCTGGATCCTATTCTTCCAGCCTCCAGCACTCGGAGGAAGTAAAATTCTATGGCTTAAGCTGCCAGTCTGTGCCACCAGTTATGACAGTCCTAGCAAACTAAAGTGGACAGACAGGTTCATTGCCTGCTTCCCCTCCAACCCCCTCACCACAGTTCCCTCCCTCTACCACGTTCCCAGGAAGAAACAGGACACAAGTCAAGGTCCAGCACTTTATTACAGTCACAGAGCACAGGAGAGACCACTTGGGTCTCACTGAAGTCTTGTTTCCCCCCTTTCCCCAGAGGAAGTCATGGGGGGGGGGGGGGAAGCCCCGCCCACCGGGCCAGGCCAGTGGGAGGAAGGGGACAAGGGCAGGTCAACAGCATAAACACAGACTTGGTTTGGTTCCAGTTTCATGACTTACAAGCCGTGTGATTTTTAGGCAAGCCTCTTAGTCTCTCTGAGTCTTGGCTTATTCCTCATCTGTGAAACGGAGAAGTGACAGGACCTACCTCCCTGGGTTCTTGTGAGGATTGAATGCGGTAACACCCGTGACGTGTTTAGCACAGTGTCTGGAAAACTGTATGTAGTCAGTGAGTGGAACTGCTATTATTGCTATTGTTATTATTAGGACCAAGTCATATTTCCTCATGGTCAGGCCAGCTCTAATCTCTGTGTTTGAGGGAAATGCCTTCAGTGAGGCCTGTTAGAATGACAACCTGTGACACATGTGGAAGCCACCTGATCCCTGGGAAGACGGGGATCAGACCCCAAACTTGAGGATTCTGGGGCCGTAGAACCTACTGTCTCTACCAACCCCATGAAAAGCACCAGGAAGGGTTTGCGGAAAGTTCTATGTTTGTGCCTGGACCACTTCCAGTCTTTGGCATTCAGTCATTAGCATACCATATGTCTACTCGCAAAGTCTTTTTTTTGTGTCTTGTAGTTTTTGCTTTTGGCTAAGGAATTGCCATAGGCTACTGCACTTGGAATCAATTCCTGGCTCTGCCTTTTGTTATCTGGGCAACCTTGGGCTGGTCACTGCACCTCTCTGAGCCTCACTAATTACATGACCTTCAGGGAGCTTGGAGGAGAAGCCAGGGTATGGAAGTAAAGTGCACTGTTGATGGAAGCATCCTTGGTAATGAGATGATGGATGGGGCCACAGTGGTCACTGGTTAGTGGGGAGGAGTCTCAGGTCACTGGTGAGTGGGGCGGAGTCTCAGCACGTGCCTGCCTGTGTGAGTGGTTGTGTGCGCGCGCAGAAGCCCAGTATTCCGGGAGTGGGTAGAGGCAGGCATCACCACAAGAGGGTGCTCTGAGCTTTGTTTGTCTTCTCTACCTTGAAAAAACTTTTCCTTTTTTTATAGCTGCATTCCAAAGTGATCTAAGACTCATGGTTTTTAGTTTACCTGACTGGTTTTATAAGCTTTACAAATAAATTGATGTGCATTTATTAGTTTATCAATAAGTGGACACGATACTGTGTCCCTACCATCGGCATGCTGGGAAGTGGGGCGAGGGTGGGTGGAGACGGGAAGAAACTGGTGCCTTATGGTGTCCCGGCTCCACCACTGCTTAGCTGAGTGCCTGCAGGAATTTCCCAAGAGTGCCACAGTGGTGAAGTTCCCACATCCAGCCTCAAAGGGATGTTGCGAAATGGACCAAATGGAAAGAAAAGCAACTTAAAGGTCAAGAACACAGTCGCGAGCCCTCTTACCTCCAGTGCAGGCCTCCACTTGACCCGCATGCCGTGCTGCAGCCGAAGCCCCCGGGGGCAACTCTGGGATGGGAAGGAGGCGAATCCAGCTGTTAAGCCATGACCTCAAGAACAGTATTTCCAGGAATCCCCATCTTAGCATCTAAGGGATTCCTGGGAAAACTGGACCGTGAGGACAAGGTGAGAGTGCGGCCTTCAGCACCAAGGCCCTGCCACGCCCCTACGGGACCACCGGGAGTTTCTTCTGCATCCAGCCGGTCTGCAGAAGCCAGCGTGGGCGCGCCATGTATGTGGCTCCGGGTGGCGTAGTGACTGGAACTTCAAGTGGCCTGGAAAGTACTTTCCCGGAGGTCAAAGGCCACGTTCTTGACCAGCATCCATCCAGCAAGCTGGCCCCCCTTCCCAGGACAGCCATGAGTTGTGTGCATTCCTGAGACTCCAGCCAGAGGGAGGGTTTTACTCTAAACTAAACCAACCAGGCAGATCCGGTCCCTGGTCTCTGGCAACTTCCTCCATGGTGACCTCCAGCAAGTCACTTAACCTCGGCTTTCCTCAACTGTAAAGTGGGATAGTAGAGGACCTACCGGATTAGGGGAGATAAATATAATTTAGGGGGTGGAGGCTAGGAAGAAGGGAATTGCTAGGATTGATGGAAAGTGTCTGGGTCTGTCTTTGCTAAAAGTGACCCAAGATGTAAGGACAAGACCAGAGCAGGGTTTATTATGTTCACCTCCAGGTCCCCGATCCCCAGGTTTCAATGTCACCTGCACTGGGTAACAATACAGATCTGAAACCAGACAGATTAGGCTACAACCCTGGCTCAACACAATCAAGGTGTGACCTTGGGCAAATTAGTTAACTGAGCCTTAGTTTTCTCATCTGTAAAATGGGTCAATAACAGTACCCACCTCCCAAGCTCATTGGAAAGGTAAATAAAATTGTGCTTAGCCCAGTGATTTTCCTCTGCTGATCCTTGCTTGTCTGAAGCCTCTAGGAGCCGGCAGGCATTTGTGAGATGTTTGGATTGGTTTTAGTCAATAGCCTGGGGCAAGGGTAGCAGCTCCACGAGAGAAGAGCCTGGCTCAAAGCTCAGGACTTCATCTTTAGGACTGAAAGATTTTGTCCAACCCACAAACGATGGATGGGTTTCAGCTCTGAATCCCTGATGGGACTTGGTGTTAAGAAGGATTCTGAAGCTGCATCTGAGCGTTTCAAGAATGGACGCCTTGACAGATTAGCGGGGTCCACCACGGCTCAGAAAAAGCCGAGTCAGGGTGCAGGGTAACGGCCACACTAAAAGCTCCAACCGTTCATCTTACAATGGACAGACTATGGGGCTCAGAGCAGCCAGGACTTGCCCAGAATCATGAAGCAGATGGTGGTATGGGTGAGACTTGGGTCCAGAAACTTCCTCAGCACAAGCCGCTGACAGTCTGGAGACCGGAAGTGTCCTGCCCTTCCTGGTGCCCCCAACACCAGCACTTACCGCTTCTGGCAGGTGTCCGCAGAACAACTTCTCCCTTCCTGAGCTACAGTGCTTCATCTCAGACTCCCAACTGACCAGAGATGCAGCACTGCACCTCAGGCTGGGAGACAGGCCAGCCTGCGCAGGGAGGCCGCGGGCAGGGAGGCCGGGAGGGGGCCTCTGCTCCACCAGCTCCGCCCCTCAGGCGACTGTACCCCACCTCTCCTTGGCCTGGCATTTGAGCCCTCTGGGACCAAATCTCAACTTTCCTTTTATTTATTTATCTTTTTAAAGAGCTTTATGGCAATGAGGTCCTCTCTCCCCTTTAAAGTGTACAATGAAATGGGTTAATACATCCACAAAGTTGCACAACCATCACCACAATCAATTTGAGGATATTTCATCCCTCCAAAAAGAAACCTCTTACCACGCAGCCCCTCCCACCCCCATCCGCCCCAGCCCTGGGCAGACCACCTTCTGTCTCTCTAGAGCTGCCTATTCTAGACATTTCAATAAATGGAGTCTCCCAATATGTTGACCCCATGCCCCTCCTCTGTGCTCGGTGTGTCCCAGCCAAACAGCACAGTCCTGGAGTCTGACATTTTGTACCACCCAACACCTGCCATGGCCCCTGCCTGCTCTCCCTGCTTCTACCCCCAACACCCAGACTTCCCATCCACCCTTCCCTGCCATCCACCCAGAGTGATTTCTCCAAATGCAAACATGGTCCTATCTCTCCCCTCCTTAAATCCTGAAAGGGCTCCCACTGCCCTCCGGCTAGATCCTGAAACCTTCACCAAAGGCTATGGTGCCCGCCCCATCTTCCTCTTGGGCCTCTCCTCCAGGGAGCCCTGCACCCGCCACCTCAGGCTCCCAGCTGCCATGCCACTCCCCTGCCCATCTGCTCTTTATGGGCTTGGTGTCTACTCAAACGGCCGCTTCTTCAGGGACGCGCTCCCTGCCTTTCTCAGACATCAGGATACCCGGGGCATGTCCTCAAACATCCTGTGCCCTTTTCCTAATCCTTTGCCACAGTCTCGTTTAAGACCACCTGCACGCATGGGCTGCAGCCCTCCGTGAGGGAAGGGACCCTGCCTACTGTACTCACCACGGAGAGCAGGCTCGGGCAGTGGAGACCCCACAGCATCGGCTGAATGGCTGCATCCTGTTCCTCAATCTCATTCTCTCTGCTGTCAGGGCCGTTTGCATCTCGGTGGAACTGCACTGGATTTCCAGTTCCCTGAGGACAACACCCACCTCTTGTTAATGCCGGGGTGTCCTGGGTTCTGCTGGGGCCTTTGTACATGATGACGGGCCCAGGGAATGAATGTCACCCAGTGGATGATTGAATGGTGTGTCGGTAATTCATTTTCCTCTTTAGACCTGGCTTGGGTGGGAACATCTGAGTGAGCAGGCAGAGCCCCCCTGCACTCCTCCTGTCCCCCAAGATCTCAGGGCACCCTGGGAGTATCCTCCTTCTTTTTTGGATGCCCACTGTGGTGGCCTTGATGCCAGATAACATATCTGTTCAGGGATATCTAAAGGGCAAAGGGGGGTGGGCAACCCTTTCTCAGGGCTGGAACTGAGCAGGAAAAACACACTTGATACTAAAACGTGTCTCCGATGCTCCTAGCAGAAATCTGAAATCAGGCCCCTATTCAAAGAGTCTTCTCCCTGCTCTGACATGTCGGGTAGGTCAGTCCCGATGCCCCCCTGAGCAGGCAGCCCCGTCCTGTCCAGTCAGAGAACTGCCTGCCTCTAACATGGAATCCTTGTAGGAACTCTTGGCAAACCACATTGGTCTGGGGAGGGATTCCAACACCAGGACCAGCCTTGGGGGCCTGGGCAGCCCACAGCCCGTCCACTCCTCTCTCCGCTGCTCCCGCCAGCCCCGCTCGCCTGACCCATGTGGAGGCTTCAGTGAGGAGTCAGGGAGGGTTGTTCCAAAAAAGAGATCACCTGCTGCCTGGAACCAAGCAGATGAACCAGCCCCTGTACCCAGTGGGTGCCCAGGTTTCCCCAAAGCCCTTTCACCAAAACCAGCTTTGACTTCTGGGTGCAGCACAGGGAGTGAACCGTTTGGGGGGGAGTCTGTGGCCTCGGCACTCACTAGCTGTGGAAGACGGAGTGATCATGTCTGTCTATCCGCTCTCAGTCCTGTCTACCAGGAGGGGAAGCGACGGCTGGGCGCTCGCCTGTCTGCCTCTTTCCTAGCGCCTGCTTATCAGCCTCAGGCCCAGGGCCTCGCAAGCCAGGGCACCGGGTGGAGTGTGATAACACCGTTTCATTTTCACTGTCTGTATTCTGACCCTCACCTCCCAATTCTGGTCAGTGTTACAGTTTTCCATTTTTCGTGACTAGATTTAGATATTAACAACGACATCTTAAATTTGAAAATATTATGATTGTAAAAATTTTTTAAAAGGTCACCTGAGTGACTGCAATCTGGGCCACGTTTAATCTTCAGAACGGCTGATGGGGCCGGCGAGGTGATGGTATCACCTCCGCGTGGAGGACCCGGAAGCGGAGGAGACGGGTTCTAGGCCATAGCCCAGCTTGAAGGGGGTGGGGGTGCCGAGGGCTATTTCCAGCACATCCCACTGTCCCACTGGACTCAGATTGTTGCCGAAAAATAGCAGCTCTCCTGGGTGTAGAAACAGGAAGTAGACGGGGCAGTCCCACGCTCCTGGGGGAGTACCGCTGACGCAGGGACAGGGGTTTGAGGCACAGCCTCTGACCAGGGGAGGGGTGTTGCCGCCATTTCCTCCGTGGCGATAAGCTGCCTAGTTGTTTCTTTATATCTAGAAAAATCGTAAGGGTGCGGACTGTGCTAAGAACAGTCACTTATTGAATGTTTTAATTGGGCCGATCCCCGTGCATCCCCAAGGCTCCGTGGGAAGGGCAGGGAGCGAGGAGCCGAGCTGGGATTCCTCACTCGGAGCAGCCGGCCCAGGGCCCCCATTTCAACCTCTTTGCTCAATGTCTCACCCCCTGACCGACCCTTTGGGTTAGAGACAGTCTAACCATGTCACCTGTCCATCCGGCAAACCGAGTGCATCTTCCAAGGGGAGACGGGACTGAACTTGATGTCATCCTTGCCCTGGAGGAGTGCCTGCGGGTGGAAATGGAAGGAAAATGCAAGGCAAATAGGGGACAGACCCCAGTGGCACGTGAATCCCAGAAAGGACTGCCAAGGGCTCAGAGGACAGAGAGGTTCCTGATCCTGGGGGAAGCTGGGAGGGCTTCCTGGAGGAAGAGGAGGTGAGGCTGGGCTGGGAGGGCCTGGCTCCCTGGTCCCTGGAACTCTTTCCTTGACTCTTGTGTGTCTTCCCGGCTGGCAGACAGCACTGGCCTGACCGAGAAGGAGCCCGGTAGCCCTCCTATGTCACTTTCCCCGCAAGAGGCTCTGGGTCCCTAGTCAGGGGACAGGGGGACACTTGGGAATTCCGGTTCTATCACCAACTGGCTCAGTCACTTCTCACAGGCACGTCTCCCCTCTGCAGCTGTTTCCCCTTCTGTCAAAGGAGGCATTTGAATAGGTGACCTCAGAATCTTACCTGGTGCTGGCCCTTGGCAGTCTGGGGGGTTGCTCCAAGGATGAGCCGTTTCTCCTTCCTGCTCCCCACTGTCTTCAGGAAATGTCGCGGAGCCTGGGGGAACCTCTGTCTTCTGTCGGGAAGCTCCTGGGAGGCTGGGAAGGAGAAAATAAACAGTGGCTGTCTGGGTTTTCTCGCCAGGCCTGAGCCAGGAGGCCTCCCTGGCTCCTTCCCTTATATGGCCAGGCCGCTCTGGGCTGGGAGCCTGCCGCTGCGCTCCCCCACCCTCCACCACCACTGAGGGCTGGGGGCCCGCTGGTCACCTGGGACTCTGGGGCTGCAGAGGCCGGGGCAGGACTGAGGGTGGAGGTGGGACTCAGGACATGTTCCCATAGTCACCTGTGCAACTTGGCCCCCTGTGGCCTCTGGGCTGCAGGGGATGGACCAGGTGGGAGGATTTATGGAGGGACAAAGGGTGGAGAGGAGGGAATCCACCTGGTTCTGACTTAACCTCGAACTCACCCTGGCCAAGCCCCTTCCTCTCCTGGCCTGTTTCTCCCTGTGTCAGTTGAGGGCATAGAAATCCTAATTAATCCTCACAATCAGCCCCATAGGGTGGGAGCTTTTGTTTCCCTATTTCACAGAAGGGAAACAGGCTTGGAGAGGCTAATGGACCACAGCTATCCAGCAAAAAGGGAGCAAAGCTGGATTTGAACTTGGGGCATCTGACTTCAGGGTCTGTGTTCTGAATGGGAGGATTGCTAAGGCTCCTCTTGGTGATAATATCCAACATGTGCCATATGGAAAGGGGATTCTGCTGCAGCTGGTCCCTCGAAGACCAGGGAGGCCCCAATGCCCAATGACCAGCCCAGAGGACACTGTTTCGTTACACAATGGGGGCAGAGGCTCTAAGACATCCATCTCGGTGTCCCCCGTACCCCACACAGGGCCTGGTGAAGACTCGGGGCTCAGGAAAGGGGAGTTGTGGAATCACTGACTAAATGAACCTCAGTAGGTTCACAAGTTCCTTCTTCCCTCTCAAGTGCCTGCCTGTGTCTCAGCCTCAGGCCATTGTCTCCTGAGCTGGATTGACAGGGTCCAGTCCTGCTCAGGTCAGCTGTGGGCCCGAGATGAGGGTGGTTCCGCTCAGGGCTGGGCTCCAGCTGCAGTGACCGTGGGAGAGGCTGCAGGAGGGGAGGGCGGGCGGGGAGGTGGGGGTGGGGCTGCGTTGCTGGGAACAGCTCAGAAATGAGCCTCGCACAAGCACTAACATCCTGTGTGCTCTTGAGCTAGCCCTGGAACCTCCCTCGGCCCATCCATCATCGTGCCATCCGTTCGGACCCTGGCCCTCTTCCTGGGGCCCGGGGGCGGGTCGAGGGGGGCTGAGGACTGACTGTCAGTGTGGCCGAGACACCGCAGCTGGCAGCTCTGCAGGCCTGCTCAGTGTCTGCGCGGGACAGTCGAGGGAGGAGGCGCCTGGAGCCCTCCTAATCCAATTTGTTTAGACCCAGTCTCCGAGGCTCGCTGGCTAGTGAGAGGGGGCTGGGTGTGCGCTGTGCCGGGGTGCACGTTTGCACACACGTGTGGGGCGTGCAGACGGGAACAGGTGTGCTGCGTTATGTAAGCCAGGCCTGGGCCTTGTCACATGTCCCCGGAATGTCAGCTCCTGGCCTCCTCCGCTCACCTCCAAGTCTTCCTCCACTTTTTCCATTCTTACGCCAGCTGGTGCCAGAAGCCCCCTCTGCAACTGACTGACTACCATTCTAAGTGAGTTCCTTCACCTCCCTGGGCCTCAGTGTCTCCATCTGTCTTATGGAGCCAGTGGGTCACTCTGCCTGCTCCACGTGCAGGGTACTAAGAACTGGCAGACATGGGAAGAACAAGATGGGCGGTAAAAACAGCTGCTATGGTAGCTTGATGTCCACCTGTGCCAAGCACTGCGCTCCGGGGCACACACCTGACCTCGCGGACCCTGTCAGAGCCCCTCAGGCTGGCTCTGTCATCACCAGGCTCCCTACCCCAGCTCTACCTGTTTCTAGAGTCCAACCTGTTTACTCCTTTCCCGGGAAGACTGGCGTGGTTGCCCGCATTTCCCGAGTCCTGTGGTCTCTGGAGCGCACAGGGCATGGGGTGGGGTGGGTATCTGTACTCTGGTTGTTTCCTCCTTTGGTCTCACTTGTTTCACCTTCATCCCAGACCCAACAGCCCCAAATTGCCTGCACCCCATCCATCAGCAGGGGCCCTCCACCCACTCCGCCCATCTGAGGCCTGGTTTCTCGGTCATTCTGAGGGTTGGGGTGGGGAGGGTACCCCGTGGACCCGGGTTACCACAGGAGCCGCCATGCGGGGGGGTGGGGGGGTGGTGAGGTGTGGAGCGGGGTGGGTGCTGGCGAGTGGGGTGGGGAGCACTTACAGTTCCGTTTCCAGGGTCCCTGTTGCCTGGTCCTCAGGAGGCCCCTCTGGGGTGCTTGCCCCTCCATCGTGTAGGGGTGGCTCCCGCCAGTGTCCTCTCCTGAAAGGAATAAAGATACCGCCTGTCAGGAGGTGCGGGGTGCCCTGTGGCCTTTGCAGGTTCTGCCCAGGCTACCAGCTCCGGGCTGAGGATGGATCTGGGTTGCTGCTGGGTCTTTGGAAGCCTCGGGCTGAACCTGCTGAGATTTTCCAGGCTTCAAAGAGCCGGCTTCTCAGGCCCTAGGCGACCGCTATTCCTGCTTTGCCTGCCTGGCTTTCAAAAGGAGTCGTCTGAGCTGCTCCAACCTCTATGAGATGGGGGGTGAGGGAGGAGAGGGGAGGCTCCCTGCTCTGAGCACACTCAGGCCGCATCAGTGAAAGAACAGGTCTGGAAGGAAATTTCCCAGAGGCCCCTCAGATCCCACCTCCAGCCTCACACATTGGGAAAGAGCCATTAAGGGGTAGATCAAAACCTGGGGTTAACACCGTGGCCAGGAGCGAAGGGACAGCCCTGGGCACACCTGGGACCGCTTCCAGCTGCACCAGGTTTTCAGCCTGCAAAGGGCTCCCTCCCCCGACTCAACAAACACTCACAACCACCCCGTGGAAGAATCGCCTCCGCTTGCTGAGCTTCAAAGAGGCTCTCCTAGGAGCCCAGGGTCACCCGCTGGGGAGTGTCAGAGGCCAGCTGGAGCCCAGGGCTGCTCCTGCTCGATCCAGCTGTCTCCTGAACTTGGGCAGCAGCTGGCTAGATGACCACCAAACAAAGCTCACGTCATTACGGTCATTGCAAAAGCCCCTGTGCCCTTTCCTGGCCTCGCTCATTTCCAAGAAACACAAGGTACCGAGACTGGGCCACATCTGTGAGCCAGATGGCACGGCAGCGGGAGGGAGCTGATGTTGGGGCTCTGTGCCGGCGGACGAACCCAACCCACACTGGTTCTTTCAGGAGGACCCCTTCCTCGGCTCCCTGAAGCATGTGCACGTAGGACAGCTGCTGTTCTCCTTGGCCTCCAGGCTTTCCACCTTGTTTGGAAAGAAGAGAAAGGACACAGGCCCTGGAGCTAGGCAGACCTGCACCGGACTCTTGCCCTAACACTCTCTGGCTGTGTGATCTAGGGCTGGTGGCTTCACCTCTCTGAACCCTGGCTTCCAACCTCCCAGTTGTTTGTGAAGGTGGAATGTCAAGTGCAAGCACAGCTGCTGGCACGTAGTAAGCCCTCAAGAAGCGGCTGCCATATCCACTATGAGCATGGGGCCGGCCCCACAGTGAGGCCCAGGCACGGAGGAGACGAAGCAAGAAGGATGAGGCAAAGGCCCAAAGTGGTACCCAGAGAAGACACGGAAGCTTCGGCGGGAGCCACCGTGTGGGGCCCTTTTCATGTCGCCTCTGTGTGGGCTGCTCTGGGCTTCTGTCCCAGAGTGCCCTCCCATCCCCTCGACACCCCAGCTGAGTTCACCAGCCTCACACGCTCCCTATTTCCTCCCCAGGGAAGGTCACTGCCTGGGGACTTTGGAGCAAGCCCTGGGAAAGCAGTTTGAGGCAGAAACAAGAATGATGCAGGAAAAAGGGAAGAAAGGGGCCCAGACCTGCCTGGCCTAGAATCCCAAGCCCTCCGGGAGTAGCTGGGGCTCTGGGAGGGCGGGGGGAGAGAACAACATCCCCATACTCTGACCTTGTAGTGAGAAGGTCTCCCCTCTGTCCTGCCCTCTGTCCTGCCCACTTTGCAAAGAACTGGGAGTTCCAGGGCTCTAGTTTACTGGGACTGGGCCATGCCTTTCAGATAACACAAAAGTTGGTTTCTCTTGGAACGTGTTGGATGGGAAGAGCAGCAGGTTAGGTACCAGGTCTCCTGTAGATGTGCTGTGTAATTGCAGGCAAGTGTCTTTCCCTCTCTGGGCCTCATCATGATGGTGGGTTGAGGACTGGACTCCATGGTATCCAGAGTCCTCCGAGCGTCAGATAAGTGGGGATGGTTAGACCTCACGCTGTCCCCCTGGTGTGAGTGTCAGTGTGAAGGAAGGTGAATGGTCTGCATAGGTCTGCATAGAGAAAGAGACACTGGGCAGCAAGTACTGAGGCTGGAGCTCCCCTAGCTGCCTTTGACTTCCTTTGCCCTCCTCCCAGCCTACTGCTCAGCCCAAAGCAGCCCCAGTGACCTGGATCAGGTGGATTTTCTACATCAGGACTTGAAGCCTCAGGGCATGAGTGCTGGTTTCACCCCCATTGTTCAGATGAGGAGACTGAGGCATGGAGAGCAGATGCAGTCAGTTGGGGGCCCCGCTGGGACTGACCCCTTCTACTCACTGAGGGATCCTAATGGCTCAGATCTTAACAAAGGGGGCCTCACAGGAAGGAGGGAGAGAGGAGAGCCTTTAAGTTCCTTTGGCTTTGAACATGGAATAATCATGACTTCCTTTTCCAAATATCTTTTGGCCCTTCCTAGAACCAGATGGCGGATGTTTGGAATTTATGTTGTAAATAGTGTTTAAGAAGGCACGGGGGGAGGGGAACAGATATGTTACTCTCTCCAACCACCAAAAACAGGATCCAAGGGAGGGAATGGGGGAGGGGAGCTGACTCTGAGAAGATTTGGGGGGAAAGGAGAAGGATCATTTGGGGAGAAGGGGAAGGAAGAGAGAGGCGAGAAGACAAAGGAAGAGAGATTGATGGAGTGAGAGTGAGAACAAGACAGAGGCCAAAAGAAGAGGAGAAAGGGAAGGAAGAGAGGGCAATGGGTGAAGAGGGAGGAGGAGAGAGAGAAGGTGGGTGAGCGAGATGGCGAGGGGGCTCCCTGGGTGCAGGCTCATCTTGAGTTTAGGAGCAAACCCTTGCGTTTTCTAAAAATAGTTCCGCCTTTCCCCCAGCGGGGCTGGCAGCAGGGACGAGAGAGGCTTGTCCTTTTATGGTAAGAAAATTCCAGATCCTCAAGGGGGAGCTGGGCCCAAGCCTGTAGTTTTGGATAAAGCCCAGCCCTGGGGTCTGGGTTGTGACTTGGTGGGCTTTCCTGGCTTGGGTGGCCCCACCTTTGGTGAGGAAAGGGCTGAGGTGGCAACGCTGGAGCTCCAGTGTTGGAGGTGGAAGGGCTCCTAGAGACATCTGGTCTACCCCATCTTTCTATTTGATAGGAGAAAAAACCCAAGTCCCACAGAGTGGAAGAGACTGTAGGCTCCCCGTGTAGGGGTTTGAGGTGTCAAGGTAAATCAGTGCCAGGTCCGCATGAGGATGGCTTATGTGCCCATTATTATGGAGGGCAGTGTGGGCAGTGGAGAGAGCACTGGTCTGGGGTTTAGGAGACCCACAGCCCATCCCCAGTTGCTTGTGGTTTGCGGTGTGACCTAGAGCAATCTGCCAAATCTCTCTGGTCTCAGATTCCTTCACGGGGGTGATCTTAAGGGCCTTTTGCCTCTCTGGGAATTCCAAGGCTGGAAAGCAAAGCCTGGGCATAGAGGCAGTGGGCAATCTGCAGGCTGCTATTTTCTTCCCGTGCCTGGCCTACTTCCTATGCTGAGGCAAAGCTAAGATGGACCAAGGTTCTATAGGAGACGGGGGTAGATCATAGATGGGAATCTTCAGCTGTCCAAATTGGTTGGGTCCAGCCCCGCACTGGACACACTGAGGCCAGAGAGGACCTTATGTTCAAGATCATGCTCAAGGCCATGTGGAGAGTTGGGGCAGAACCAGGAAAGAACCCAGCCTTGGGCTTTTTCCTCTACAGGAAGCCTCCCATCTACAGCAGCTGGCAACTTTGGGGACCATCTGTGGCCAGGAAAGGGGCCTTTCGGAGCAGAGCAGACAGAACTCAAGATACGCCTTCATCGTCTGACTACCTCTTAAAGACAGGCTGTCCTGGCAGGTCACCCACCTCTCCTTGGCCCCCCTCCCTTGGCTGCAAGCACCTTACGATGGTCTCATCTCTGGCTGGAAGGCAGGAAAGAGGCGAAGAAGGATGGATAGGACAGGGCAGCCACTCTGGCAGTGTAGTCTCAGGCAAGTTTCCCCTTGTTCGCCTTGGGTTCTGCGTCTGTAACACAAGGAGATGGCCTTGAAGATGCTCTTGACAGGACTGTCAGCCCTAACAGGACTGTGACACAGTGAGGTTAGCACTCAACACCAGGAAAGGTTATGAAGCAGGCAGTGGGTTCACCAGGTGGATGAGATGGATCTAGTCACTCTCTGTTGCTTTACAGTGCGTTGAGTCGGGGACCCAGTGCCCAGGCTTCCTGGTGGCCCCAATCCTCTGTCAATTCTGGGAGCCTGGACTGACTCTCTGTCTCCAGCTTGAACCCAGAGCTCAGGTAGCTCTGGTCTTGAGTGTCCAGGAATGCTTGTTGGCCTGATCCGTGTTCATGCCCACTCCCCAGGACTTTGCCCTTCCTTCCACCCTGTCCCACATAGCTGCCCACCTCGCCAGCCCCTGCCTGGCCCCCCCTCCCCATCTGCCCTGCATCTCCATCTCTCCATACGCGGTCTTTTTGTGACTCAATCCAAAGAGGAGGCTCGCTTTCCTCTTCCAGGCTCCTGTGACTGCCCCCCCGACCCCCCACCTACTGCTGGGGGGAAGGAGGGACAGGAAAGAAAGGGGCCCAAAATAAAGCATCTTGTTCTAAGCTTCCCTGTGACCCTCCTGGAATTTCCATGTAAACTCACTGGGGCGTGTGAACAGGGCTCTCGGGGACCCTGGTCCCCTCTGCCTCATTCCTGCTGGGTGGAAGGCCATCGGCTGAATGTCCCCCAGAGACCCAGCCTCACAACCAGGCTCCAGGTCTCCCTGGCGTTCCCTGGGAAGGGCAGAAGGCAGCAGTGTGGTGAAAGGAAGTGGGAGGGAAGGGAGTCCCTAGAGGCCCCCATGCGCAGTCAGGGCAGAATTGATGTCATGCCCAGCTGGGAATCTGACATTCAGGCAGGAGCGGGGCTCAGCCCCATGAGACTGGCCCAAGGCAGCCAGGGCTGTGATGTGAAGTCCCAGTCTGGTGGTGGGAAAAGCCTGAAACCTCATGTTTGACTTCTCGCTGCGGTGTCACTGCTAAGGTTGCATACCTCTGGTGATGGGGAGCTCACTGCTTTCCAATCACCTATCTCTCTTTGGATAGACTGTTGGAGATTCCTTCCCAATATCCTGACAACATCTGTCTTGCTGGGGAGGCACCCCCTGTCCTTTCCTGCTCCTCAGAAAGCTCTTCAGATGGTGACTGCAGCCCTGGGGCTTCCTACGTGTTCTGATCCCACCCTAAGGCCCTCTTTTCCATTGGTGACATCTCAGTCACCAGCGCCCACATCCCCAGGTCTCTCCCCTGCATTGGTTGCCTCCGGGTGGTGCTTTGGGGATGGGGACAAACAGGCTACAGAAAGGGACAGATGCCAAGAAGGACCTGTCCCCTCCTGGGGCATTGGTCTCTGGCTATCCAAGCCACTTCACGGCCAGGCCTTCCCCACTTTGCCAGCCTCAACCCTCACGGAGTTCCTAGACCTACCCTCTGTCCCAACCAACCGGGCTTGTTCGCTCTCCCCTGAAAATGTCTTCCCAGCCCTGCCTCTGCCTTTGCACACAGAGCTCCCCATCTGGAACGCACTCTCCTTTCTTCTCTGTCTGTCCAAAGTGTGCCCCCTGCTACTCTGACCCCCACTCCAGGTTTTCCTCCCGAGAGTCTGAGCATCACTGCCATCCATGGGGTCACCAGAGCTGTCCCCCTTTTTTCCAAATCAAGCAGCAGCACAGCCTGAAGAGCCCAGAGGGATGGAGGAACTTACCCGAGGGTGTTGGCTGCAGAGCCAAGGCCAGAGTCTTAGCCTGGTTCTCTCCCTTCCTCCCCTTCTATTCAGCTTAGCTCGGCAGATGCCCTCAGATCCAATGCTCTTGTGGGGCCACCTGCCTGAAGTCTGGCAGGCTCGGGGCAGACTGACCAGTGGCCTCCGAGCTCAGCACTCCAGCCAAGGGTGGTGCCATCAGAGGCGCAGCCACCTTCCCTCTGGACGCTTCTCCCACCCCTATTGCCCCGAAGCAGGAGGAGGAGGAGGGTCCCCTCTGCCTCCCTGCTGCTGGGTGGAAAGCCATCGGCTTCCAGTTTGGGGCTTTCCACCTCCTTCAGACCATGGCTTGGGTCAGAGGAGGGTCTTTGAGGAGGGGGCTCTTGGTATAGGCTCTTGGGGGGAGCCAGGGGGAGCCTGCTTCTTCCAGCCTTAGTCTAGCTGACTCCCTCTTCCTCTAATCTCCCATGGGCTGTGCGGACCGCTGAGGCCCCCAGGGTACTCAGCCCCAGGGTACTCAGCCGCACCACGGGCTGCTCATTGGTGACGATTGTTTTGCCAGGGTACATCTTTGTCCCCAGCAGGCATGGGGGTGGGCGTGGGAGGCTATCCCCTAGCACAACAGTGACTAATCCAGAAGGAAGCATGAGGCTTCAATGGCCCCTCCCCAAATGCCAAGAGTTGGGCCTATTAGGCAGGGTAGGACCGGAACGAGTTCTTGCTCACGAACTCACTGGGGTGGTGCTAGCGTGTAAGCACACGGTCTCTGGAGTCAGCCGTTCCTGGAGTCGAGCCCCAGCTTGGCTTCTTACAAGCTGTGTGACTCTGGGCAAATGACTAACCTTCCTGAGCTCCCAGGTTCCCCGAGGGATGATTTTTACCTCAGAGAGTGCTGGGCAAAGGATGTGGGCAGAGTTGATATGTGGCAATTGTTGGGTGTGTTTTTTTTTTGTTGTTGTTGTTGTTAATCCTCACCTGGGATATTTTTCCATCGATTTTTAGAGAGAGTGGAAAGGGGCGGGGGGGTGGGGGGGGGAAGAGACAGAGAGAAACATAGATTGGTTGCCTCCTGCACACACCACCCCGACCAGGGCTGGGATGGAGCCTGCAATCGAGGTGCCCTTGACCAGAATTGAACCCGGGACGCTTCAGTCCATGGGCTGATGCTCTCTATCCACTGAGCAAATCCGGCTAGGGCCAATTGTTATTTTTGAGGGAACAGTTTATCCCCTCCCCAGGTGGAAACAAGATTTCCAGCCCTGTACATCCCCCCTGCCCCCCAAAAGCTGCCTTTGGTATTCACAGTTTTGCAATTACATTTTATTGGAACTTACTATATGCCAGTCACTGTTCTGAGGGCTGTATCAGTTTTAACTCACTTAATCAGACGGCTCAATAACCCAATGAGACAGGTATTCTTATCACGTCCAAGGCCACGCAGGTCCCACCAGGCAGATGTGGGATTCAAACCCAGGCAGCCTGACTTCCCTCTGGCACCTTTAACAACCAGCCTACCACACCGCAGTCCC